GCAAGCCACCATGCCCTGCCAAAAGTTACAGTTTTATAAAAGTTACAGTTTACTCCCTTTATAGCTATTTCATGAATTGTTTTACATAGACTTCGGAAGGAAAAAGGAGAATTTAGATCTGCACTGTCCAATTATGATAGACATTAGCCACCTGTGGCTATTAAAGCCTGGCTCCGTGGCTCACTTCTATAACCATAACCAAGATAGGAAGATCCCTTGAGCCCAGGAGTGTGAGACTGCAGTGAGCGATGATCATACCACTGCACTCCAGCCTGGACAACAGAGCAAGACTCTGTCTATAAACAAACAAAAAATTAAAATTAAAATGAATTAACCTAAAAGTTCAGTCCCACTAGTCACATTTCAAGTGCTTCATAGTGACATGTGGCTGCTGGTCACTGTATTGGGCAGTGTAGATACATTTCCATCAACCCAGAAAGTTCTACTGGACAGTACTGATGAAAATTCTATAATTTGTATGTGTGAAAACCAATTAGGAAAAAATCATAAATGCCAAAATGTTTCCCATTGGGAATTATTAAAACTATAAATTACACGGACTATTTTAGGTTTTACCTTACACACTTGAAAAGGGGAATTTCAAGCTCACCACTTCCTGCCCACCAGCAATATTGACAGCAACAGTCCAGAAACACCATGAACTTTCCACAAGGTCCTCAGACATGACAAATAAACAGCAATCTCCTGACACTGTGTGCTCCGTGAGGGTTCATTACACATCAAAAACAAACACACTCCATTTTTCTGACTGCTTCTCTATCACTGGTGTTAGTTAATTCTCTCAGCGGCAGTGAACGTTTACGTGTACTCTATGAGCCCTGGAGAATGAATCCGAAGATGAGACTGTCTGATGATTAGATTTATCACAATGTCATTGATCACTTATTATGTAAACTGTATACAAGGATCAAGAACTTGGGCTTGAACTGTGCTCCCACTCACTTCTATGGAGCTGCCCAAGTGCCCCAGAAATTTCCAGATACCATCCCACCTACTCTGGAATTCCGAACCTTGAGTAGCTTCTCCAGCTTAAGTTCCCTTTGCTATCAGCTCTACATACAGCAGCCAATTTGCGAGGAACTAGGGATGGGGAGGGTGAGTCTCCACAAAGCCCACAGTGCTCAGGCCCTGACCAGGAAGTAACGAACAGGTCTACTGTTTATTCAGATCCTCAAACAGAAAAAGGTATTCCACAATATGTCAATTTCGATCTCACCCTTTCATTGCCAAATTCTCTTCTCACTCCCACCCCAGGGAATGAAACAACTCCAGAAGTAGACACACTTTGGAAGGTTTTCTGTCTTGCACTTGGACCTGTAACTCTTAAGCCTGGACCATTAAGAACTTGCTATCTTTGTCCCCAAGTGCAGTTCTGATAACTTCCCCAAATCTCCCACCCAAATTGAGGTATAGTCAAACGAAGGAGAAAAAAACATGCAGGTTGATATCTCAAATTTATGACACCACTACAGACATCAACTTGTAGAGTCAATGCTTCTTTAAACATTCAGATTAGTAACCAGTCTTACTTGAACTAGTGTATCAGGTTGTTCCAATACCTGAACTGTTTTCTATCCCATTATGATTAGCAGCCTAAAGGATATAAGGAAGTAACTAACTTGAAGCTAAAAAGGTAGATTGGGGCTAGGCACAGTGGCTCACACCTGTAATCCCAGCACTTGGGGAGACCAAGGTGGGCAATCGCTTTGTGCTCAGGAGTTCAAGACCAGCCTGGGCAACATGGCAAAACCACATCTCTACAAAAATACAAAAATTAGACAGGCCTAGAGGCGCATACCTGTAGTCCCAGTTAGAGAATTACTTGGGCCAGGGAAAGCAGAGGTTGAGATAAGCTGAGATCGTACGCCAGCCTGGGCAACAAAATGAGACCCTGTCTCAAAAAAAAAAAAGTGGATTTGATCAGATCAACAAGATGAATATACCTGTGGTCAAGTAATTTGGCTTTGGCTTAGAAAATGGGCACATCTTTCATGCCCTGGTGTACAATATACCTCTTTTTAAAAAATTTACTTAATTTAGTCCTGAACTTCTAAAAGTGACATTATCAAGGAGTTAGCTTTTTTCTTTCTTTCTTTTTCTTTTTTTTTTTTTTTTGTTTGAGACGGAGTCTCGCTCTGTCACCCAGGCTGGAGTGCAGTGGCGCGATCTTGGCTCACTGCAAGCTCCGCATCCTGGGTTCACGCTGTTCTCCTGCCTCAGCCTCCCGAGTAGCTGGGACTACAGGCGCCCGCTACCTCGCCCGGCTAATTCTTGGAGAATACAATGTTTATTAAATGACAAGCAATAAATGTATGTAAATTTGGAGCTAACACACATATTATTAAAACTTAGTAGTGGCCATAAAAATTGTTTGGAACTTAAACCAACAACAGATTTTCTTTAAGGAATATTTTATCACGGACATTTTTAGAGATGCTAGCTCATGGTAATAATAAAGAGCAGCTGACTTGCAGTCAGTTTTCTTACGGTTTTTCAATCCTCTATAGACAATGCATCTCTGTATTGCTGCACAGAGGGCTGACCACTCCTAGCTCACTGCTGATACACCACCAAGTTCTACTGATGGATTTAATGCAATAAAAGATTGCAGAAACTCAATTTGCATGCAAGTTTTAAAATAGTAGAATAGATTCTCAATGGTCTATCCAGGTCTCCACTGGACTTTAGACAGTTTCATTTAAAGATATAACGTATTAGGATTAACCCAATAAGTCCAATACTAAAATTCTACTTTATAGATGTGTTTTTAAAAGATTGTAGGGCCAGGCGCAGTGGCTCACACCTGTAATCCCAGCACTTTGGGAGGCCAAGGTGGGTGGATTACCTGGGGTCAAGAGTTCCAGATCAGCCCTGGCCAACATGGCAAAACCCCATCTCTACTAAAAACGCAAAATCAGCCAGGCGTGGTGGTGCATGCCTGTAATTCCAGCTACTTGGGAGGCTGAGGCAGGAGAATCACTTGAACCCAGGAGGCAGAGGTTGCAGGGAGCCGAGATCATGCCACTGCACTACAGCCTGGGTGACAGAGTGAGACTCCATCCCCCGCAAAAAGATTGTATCATATCTTTAATTATGAAGATTTTTTTAAATGACCTGTCAATAGAGGAAATGTTAAATAATGTGTAACTATTCTATACAGCCAATTAAAAGATAGGATTGGGTTACACATATTTAAATAGAAATCTCTGCAAGCTATATTGTGAAGGGAAAATAAATTATATTTTATAAAAATAAATTATATAGACTTTCATCCATGTAAAAATCTTTTAAAATGTGTGTGTATATGTGCATTATCATATAAATAGATGATGCTTGTCAACTTAGAGATTACCACCACCTGTGGGGGTGGGGTGAATGACGAATGTTGAAGTTTTGTTCTATAAATGTCTCTGTTGTTTGAATTGTTACATTGAGAATATATTACATTTATATATACACATTAATATACACATATATTGCTATACATTATATATACAGCATATATTAATATACATTAATACATTACATAATTTGAAAAAAGGAACAGAAATGGGGGAACATAAATTATAAAATATATAGTGTGCTATGCTACATAATGTCTGTGTTTTGAAATTCTTTGTTTAAAAATTTATAATTTTCAAAAAAATTTTTAAGGCCAGGAATGGTGTCTCATGTCTGCAATCCCAGCACTTCAAAAGGCCTAAGCGGGAAGATAGTCACTTGAGGCCAGGAGTTCCAGAACAGCCTATGCAACAGAGCAAGACCCCCATCTCTACAAAATAAAATATATATATTAGCTGAGCATCATTGGCCTCCCAGGTAGCTGTAGTCCCAGCTACCTGGGAGGCTGAGGCAGGAGGATCGCTTGAGCCCAGGAAGTCAAGGCTGCAGTGAGCTATGACCCACCACTGTACTCCAGCCTGGGCAACAGAGTGAGACCCTACTTCAAAAATTAAAAAAAAAAATAAAAATTTTAAATGAAAAATAAAGATATATAGGGGATCTTGATTGGCACTTATTCTATTTTAAGAAGTTTGGTACTAATTTGCAATTTAACTAGTTTTCCATAACTTATTTATGATACTTCTTTCATTCCATAATTTCTCTAACCACTTTTAGAACCTATTAATATTTTCATTAAAGCCCACCTTAGGGACTTATAAGTACTACAACTTTAATAGCTGCTGTTTACTATCTCTATGTATTTCTCTCTTCAAACATTGTTCTTTCAAGTATTAAGGGCCAGCTCCTGGGTTCTAGATGCCAAGATTTGGTTATATGATTTTGGTCAAATTTCAGGAGTATATTCAGAGAACTTCAATGAAACCACATTAGTTGGCCGGGGGTGGTGGCTCATGCCTGTAATCCTAGCACTTCAGGAGGCTGAGGCGGGTGGATCACTTGAGGTGAGGAGCTCAAGACCAGCCTGGCCAACATGGTGAAACCCCGTCTCTACTAAAAATACAAAAATTATGGCTGGGCATGGTGGCTCACGCCTGTAGCTCTAGCACTTTGGGATGCCAAGGTGGGCAGATTGCCTGAGCTCAGGAGTTCGAGACTAGCCTGGGCAACATGGTGAAAACCCATCTCATCTAAAAATACAAAAAAAAATTAGCCAGGCATGGTGGCACACACCTGTAGACCCAGCTACTCGTGAGGCTGAGGCATGAGAATCGTTTGAGCCCAGGAGATGGAGGTTGCTGTGAACCACGATCACGCCACTGCACTCCAGCCTGGGCAATAGATTGAGACCCTGTTTCGAAAAAAAACTAGTAGGGCTTGGTGGTGCAAGCCTGTAATCCCAGCTACTCAGGAGGCTGAGGCAGTAGAATCACTTGAACCTGGGAGGCAGAGGTTGCAGTAAGCCAAGATCAGACCACTGCATTCCAGCCCGGGAGACAGAGTGAGACTCTGTCTCAAAAAAAAAGAAGAAGAAGAAAAGAAAAGAAAGAAAACAAGAAACCACGTTAGTTGTTCTGTCATTTTTAGTTAATTTTTTCATTCTCACCTTATGTTGCTAATTTGACATAAAACTAATTTGAGAAAGGATAAAATAAGCTTCAAGCTATAACTGAAGTTTTATTTGCAAATAATAAGCCAACATATCCAATAGTTCAGAAGCTGTGACAATGTTTCAGGATTCTAGGATCACGAGGCTGCCTTCACTTTGCATTTGAAACCCGGAGTGACTGAACAGCAGCAGGGCCCTCCCCTGAGAACACAAACACACCTGTGCTTCCTATTTATATTCACCTGCTGACTAATAATACACCCACAATGACTTTCTCGTCAAACTTCTTTACAGTAATGTTTTAACCTATGAAATTCCCACTGTAACATAAATGTGTTTATCCTAATCTGTCTATAACTGAGTGTAAACAGGGAGGTGCTGGAACCAGCTTGCATCAGCTTGCAAGAGCTAGGTAGCATCTCTTCCCAAAGTATGTTCAATGATGTTACACTTGTGGTTTAAAATCAGCATGGTAAAAATATTTACACCACAGAAAATGGCAAATGCTACAAACTGGGGCCTCCTAGACCCCACCTCCACCAGAGCTGAACTTTAAACATTGACCAGCACAGCACTGGATACATACATCTGTTACTATTTCACACAAGCAACTTCATCCACACTCCTTCCTGTTCTAGATTGAGTACACCTGGTGAAAACCACAAGGATGCTTGTCCAAGAAGATTTAAAGGGCACAGAGTTCACTTAGAGATTAGCAACAGGGACGTATTCTGTATCCTCACCCCATAAAGTATGCAGAAGGAGAAATTATGCCAAAGTATGATAGAATCCATGTAACTGCTTTCAGTGTCCAGGATAAGAAATCAAATATCCTCTGAGCTACGACTGTGTCTTAGTCAGTGTCAGGTTCTAACTGAGGTCTGAGGGGAGTCAGTGGGTGAGTGGTGGGTAGCTGGAAAAACACTCGAGGAATCATAAACAGTTTCGACATGGCTTTACTCTCTCTCTGGGCACAAGTGAGCCCAGGCGTAAGCCGTATGTACAGCATCAGCAGGGTAATTATACCTTGTACAGACAATAGTGGGTCTGAGCCAAGCACAAGCTCATGTGTGTGATCACCTAATGCGCCTCACGCGGCGTGATTACATAATGTGTGGAGTTGTGCACCTGTGCTCCAAACTCGCTGAGTCATGCTGGACTGGATATCTACCTTGGCCTATTCTTGACTGCAGCAAATCCATTTTCCTTACACTCCACCCCCTAGGTTGAGGGAGACATAGGCCTTGGACACACAGGTCTGACACACAGGCCTTACATTCCACCCTGTAAGCCAAGGGAGTTCTTCTACTGGGAGACACGCCTGCAGGGCAGTACCCTGAATCCAGAGGCCACAGCAGTACTACAGGGAGCAACAACTCCAGGTTATGGCAGGCAACCACCCCATGGTGATGTTACCCCAATGCTGCTTTATACATTAAGCCAGGTTTTTATTTTCCTACCTTTAGGGGCACTGGGGCAGGCAACAACAGGTTACCGTTTGTCCCCATATGTGGTTGGAGAAGGTCATCCTTCCTCCTACAGGTCTTGCCACATGGGTTGGCCCCACATGGGCTGGTGACTAGCTACTTCTGTAACTTGCAGGTAGTTAACCACAAGGTTGAGCCTCAATAAACTGCCCAGCTATCAGTGCAGATTACCATTGGTGTCACCACCTTGGTGATCACCATTCACACTGCCCTGAGTTCAGCCCATTGGCTACTTTGTCCATACCTGGTTTCAAACCATATGGTGCCAGTACTAGGTTGGACTGCAACAGCAGTCCAAGCAGCAGTAGCACCTTAGCTAGAACCATGTCTAGGGGTACCTCAGGCCCCATGACCTTGTCTTGCATTAAGACTACAGGTCCCAAGACCTCTTGCAACTCTGCTGTAAGGGGTTGTACTCAGTGTACTCTGCTGCTTTAAGTAGGTGCCCCACTTTGCTAAAGGGATGTCTACACTGTCACAGGCAGGGGGATCCATAGCCATAACTGTACCCAAGTTGCTATTGAGTAAATCATCAGCATGATGACTGTAGCTCATCTTGCCATGCTCTCATGAGCCTGAGGGGCAGTATATGCAGCTACTAACTGCTTCTCTATCAATGAATACCAGAGCTCAGCTCCCTTCTAAAGTTGGGACCAAAAGCCTACTATCATTCTAAAGTGCTCCATGCACAGCCACAGGCCCCAGCCAAACCCATCTGTGGTCACATGCATATCAAATTTAAATGGGCAACCCTGGTCAATCACTCGTAGGGCCTGCATCTGCTGAATAGCCCGGTTGGCTGGCAGGAAGGCGGCTTCAGCAGCACTCTCTCAATCCCAGGCAAGAGGGGCATTGCTACTTCTAAATCTGCAAGAGAGTGAGAGGTTAACATAATATCATCAACAAGACCATGACATAAGGTGGGGCTATGCATGTAGCCCTGTGGCAGCACTGTGAAAATCCATTGTTGCCCTCCCATGAAGGCAAACTGTTCCTGGCTCTGTAGAGCAATGTCAATTGAGAAGACTGCATTGGCCAAGTCCCCTGCATAGGGGTGCTGTCTCAGTTCTGTTGTCAAGCAGTCCACCAAACCCGTGATAGATGGCACAGCTGCCAACCCGTGTAAAACATCCACCCCCAGAATGTATTCAGGTATGGGAGAGATATACACAGTGCATAAGCAGGAAGCCAAGCGGCCGATGCCAAGGTGCAGAGATATAGGCTTCACTTTCACTCACCAGTCTCCATAGCCATCTATGCAGCCTTGCCTGGAAACTTATCCAGGTGCAGGGATCAGTGGATTGCCAAGTCCACATGTGGCCTCTGGTCATCCAGTATGTCCCCAAGCCAGACACCTCGGCCATTTCCCTAATCAAACAGAAAAGGCTTTACACCCCCACCTGGCTGTAGCAAGTAGTCTCTGAGCTGTAGCACCCAGGTGGGACTGGGTTGCACAGCAATATCCTTCTCCCACTTGGACATCTCTGGAATTGCTGCTCTGAAAACAACTATCTCCACAAAGTTAAGAGTACTTCATTGGGCTGCTTATCAATTTTCTCTTGGTCAACCCCAACCAATATGAAATCTATCCACATCTGTGAGTGTGAAGGACCCAAGCCTGCATTCACAGTAGCCTCTAATTTCTTTTCCAAGCTCTGTAGCCAGGTCTCCAAGCACCCTGCCCACACCTGGAGGTCCCCATTCACAGCAGCTTCTACCTTCTTTTCTTTGTTGTTTTTTTTGGGGGGGGGCGGTGGGGGGAGGGTTGTTTTTGAGACAGAGTCTTGCTCTGTCACCCAGGCTGGAGTGCAATGATGCAATCTTGGCTCACTGCAAACTCCGCCTCCCAAGTTCAAGGGATTCTCCTGCCTCAGCCTCCCAAGTAGCTGGGATTACAGGCGTGCGCCACCACGCCCGGCTAATTTTTGTACTTTTAGTAGAGACAGGGTGGTCTCAAACTCCTGACCTTGTGATCTGCCCACCTTAGCCTCCCAAAGTGCTGGGATTACAGGTATGAGCCACCACATCCGGCCTTCTAACTCCTTTTCTGAGCTGTGTAGCTGGGCCCCCGGGTGCGCCACCTGTACCTGAAGGGCCCTCACTTGCACTGCATCCTTCAGGAACTAGGTGTGTACTTCTTGTAGCACAGTCAAAAATGCCCATTGAAATCTGCAGGCAAAAACTCACTCCTTCTCAGTTCTCTGCACTTCCAGTTTTTTCACTGCTGCTCCATGCTCATGAGGGACCCATCCACCACCAGTCAGGTTTCCATCACAGCCCATTCCAGAAGCACAGCTCAGGATCCTGTTCATAATGCCAATCGTCAGGTTCTAACTGAGGTCTGAAGGGAGTCAGTGGGTGAGTGGCTGGTAGCTGGAAAAACACTCAAGGAATCATAGACAGTTTTGACATGGCTTTACTCCATCTCTGGGTGCAAGCCATATGTACAGCATCAGCAGGGTAACTATACCTTTTACAGACAATAGTGGCTCCGAGCCAAGCAAGAACTCACATGGGTGATCATCTAATGTGCCTCACGTGGTGTGGTTACATAATGCGTGGGGTTGTGCGCCTGTGCTCCAAACTTGCTGAGTCACGCTAGACCAGATGTCTGCCTTGGCCTATTCTTGACCACAGCACATCCATTTTCCTTACAGTCAGAATCCCCACATTGGCACACTCAAAGCTTTAACTGAGAGCAGTTTAATGAAGACGATTTGCAGAGCTGTGGGCAGAGTTGAGGGAAACAACAAGGAATGGTGAAGCATCCAGGAACTAGCAACAGAGAAGACAAGAGCCATTGCTGCCCCTAGGCCTGCAGGGTCCAAGGGAAAGGATGCTGTTCTTGGAACCAACCAATGGGAGTGCTAGCCAAAGGGAGAGGATTTTCCAAAACTGTGGCAAGGTGTGCAAGTACAGGGGAGAAAAATATCCAGACTTCTCCCCATGCCTAGCTCCCTCCTCAACTAATACCTCCCTTTGGCCAAACCAACCAGAAAGCAGAGGGCAGGAGCTTGAGGTCCCCTACCAGGGTGCAGAGCAGGACACACCAATGTGCCAGACAGAGCTGGGGAACCAAGGCAAAGGAGAATAACCCACCCAGGCTCATATTCTTTTCTTTCTCTTTATTCTGCATTCCTTCTACCTCCATGTAGCCTCTTCTACCAAAAACAGGTAGAAAACGGAGTCCTTTAGCCATGCAGTCTCATGTTTTGAAAAAAAATAATAATAGTAAGATTTTTTTTTTAAATTCTGATGAAAAGGAGGAGTGTGAGAGAGGAAAGAAGGGATTTGGAGGAAGTTAGCCTCCTATGGCTATCATTTCAAGCAGAGCTCAAACCGCCAAGTATTTTTCACATTTTACTGAGAAAGATCATACAGATTTTAAAATGTTACAGAGTAGAAGAATGGTGTAAATGGACTCTAGAATAATCTTTAACCAGTAAAATGAAGCAAAGACATACATTGCTTTTAACACAGAACAGTAGTGTCACTCCAATTTTGTAGAGCCTGACAAATGGACAATTATATCATTTAATTCTGAATCACTTAGCTTGAATTGTTTTTTTTTACAGTTTTATTTATTTATTTATGACATGGAATCTCACTGTGTCACCCAGACTGGAGTGCAGTGGTGGGATCTCGGCTCACTGCAACCTCCGCTTCCCGAGTTCAAGCGATTCTCCTGCCTCAGCCTCCTGAGTAGCTGGGATTACAGGTGTACACCACCACGCCAGGTTAATTTTGTATTTTTAGTAGAGACAGGGTTTAGCTTGAATATGTTAAGAATATTTTCTTTAGTTTGGTACTCCACAGCACTCACTGAAGAAATACTCTAGCCTCCACTTTCCCCTTACAGGCATAGGGATAAAGAAAATGCATTTTAAGATCATAAATGTTAAGGCCAAGGCAGGCAGATCACCTGAGGTCAGGAGTTCAAGACCAGTCTGACCAATATGATGAAACCCCGTCTCTACTTAAAAAATACAAAAATTAACTGGGCATGGTGGCATGCACCTGTAATCCCAGCTATTCAGGAGGCTGAGACAGGAGAATCGCTTAAACTCAGGAGGCAGAGGTTGTAGTGAGCCAAGATCGTGCCATTGCACTCCAGCCTGGGCAACAAGAGCAAAAATTCCTTCTCAAAAAACAAAAAAAAGATCATAAATGTTGTTGCAATGTCCTAGCCCTAATATACTCAGAAAAATAACAATAACAATCGATTCTGGGCCAGGCGTGGTGGCTCATGCCTGTAATCCCAACACTTCGGGAGGCTGAGGCAGGAGAATCCCTTGAGTTCAGGAGTTCAGGACCAGCCTGGGCAACACAGTGAGACATTATTACCAAAAAAAAAAAAAAAAAGAAAGAAAAGAAATTAGCTAGGCATGGTGGCACATGCTTGTAGTATGTGCTACTCAAGAGGCTGAGGTAGGAGGATCTCTTGAGCCTGGGAGATTGAGGTTGCAGTGTAGTGAGGTGCTGTGACAGCACCACTGCACTCCAGCATGGGAAACAGAACAAGACCCTGTCTCAATAAACAAACAAACCAAACAACCAACTCTGGCTCAAAGAATCTCTACATAATAGTAAGCAGCATCTCTACGCCTGCCCTTGGGTCATGTGCTAGTGTGCTTGGGCTGCCATAAGAAAATATCACAGACTGGGTGGCTTAAACAACAGAAATGTACTTCCTCAAAGTTCTGGAGGCCAGAAGTCCAAGATCAAGGTGCTTTTCCTAAAGTCTGCCTATTTGGCTGGTAGATGGCTGCCTTCTCCCTGTGTCTTCACATGGGCTTCCCTCTGTGCATGTCTGTGTTCTAATCTTCTCTTTTAAAAAAAAAAAATTATTACTATTTTTTGAGATGGAGTCTTGCTCTGTTGCTCAGGCTGGAGTGCTGTGGTGTGATCTTGGCTCACTGCAACATCTGCCTCCTGGGTTCAAGTGATTCTCCTGGCTCAGCCTCCCAGGTAGCTGGGATTACAGGCATGTACCACCAAGCCCGGCTAATTTTTGTATTTTTTAGCACAGACGGGGTTTCATCATGTTGGCCAGGCTGGTGTAGAACTCCTGACCTCAGGTGATCCACCCACCTTGGCCTCCCAAAGTGCTAGGATTACAGGCGTGAGCCACCATGCCTGGCCACTAATCCTCTCTTATAAGGACAGCAGTCACATGGGATTAAGGCCTACCCTAAAGACTTCATTTTAACTTAATCATTTCTTTGATGATCTTATCTCCAAATAATTACTTTCTGAGGTACTGGAAGCTCAGACTTCAACAGATGAATTTTGAGGGAACACAATTCAACCTGTAACAGTCAATGTTTGTTTCTTTTCTCCGGTACCACCCATGCCATAGTTTCCCAAAAAGAGGACATTCTTGCTCCGATCTTCCCTTTGTTCACCCACTCAAAATGCATCATTCCTTCTTTCCTTTTGGGCCATGATATCTACTCTCAAGTATTAAAGCCAAATTATCTGACAAATTATAGGTAGCAAACAATTTGCTTCTTTCAGTTTGTGAGTATATCAATCTCCTAGGTGACAAGAGCTTTCTGGGGACAATGCTCATTACTGAAATATGGTACTAGCAAGGCAAGAATTTCAGGCATCTAGAAAGCTGAAAATAGGAATGTTCGAGGAAATGTGGAGATTTGCCGTTGGCCTCAAGTAAAGAGGAGATGTATAGAAAGACCCAGCACCGGATCTGATGCAGGGTGGGATTTGAGCCCTGGTTAGTTCTCTCTGCAGGGAAGCAGCTGCTTGGCTTCCACTCCGTAGATCCCACTACACCCTCACCCAGCCGCTCAGACCACCGCTCCAAACGCCTAAGGTGCCTCTCTGTTTTCACACATAACCCCTCACATTCCTCCCCTATACAGTCTTCAAAGTCATTTTGGAAAACAATTTAATAGGGTGGTGGGATCAATTATACCCCAAACCTCAGCATCAAGCGATATACCCAGGTAACAGACCTGCACATGTAACCCCTGCATCTAAAGTAAAAGTTGAAATTATTTTTCAAAAAAAAAAATTTCGTAAATATTCTTAAATTTCATTCATTTTACATATGAATAAAATTATGTCGCAAATCTCCCCGAAGACCTCCTTAAAACCCTTTAACAAATTTCTGTTGCAGTTACAAAGCATGTTACTTCTAATCATGGTCTTATAGCAGAGGTGAGCAAACTATAGTTCCTGAGCCAGATCTGGCCCACTGTCTGCTTCTGTACAACCCATGACCCAAGAATGAACATTCCATTATTTAATGGTTTTAAAAAAAAAGTTTTATGACATGTGAAAATTGCATGAAATTCAAATTACATGTGTGCACAGCTGTCCTTACAGTCCTTATCTGTATAGTTTTTCTTAGTTGTAAGTGATTGAAATGAAAGAACTGTGCACATTTGACCTCATATAGAATGGACAAAAAAAAACAAGCCTAGCCTTTTAATGATTAAAAGTGTAAGGCTACATTAAAGAGTGTGATACGTGCTGTATTCCTGGTTGGTACCAGTGAGGTCTCTTGAGGCTTACCTTTTTTTAGGCTTAAAGTTATTAGTCTTCTGGCTGGGCACGGTGGCTCATGCCTGTAATCCCAGCACTTTGGGAGGCCGAGGTGGGCAGATCACGAGGTCAGGAGATCAAGACCATCCTGGCTATCGCAGTGAAACCCCATCTCTACTAAAAATACCAAAAAAAAATAAAATAAAATAGCCGGGCATGATGGCGGGCGCCTGTGGTCCCAGCTACTCAGGAGGCTGAGGCAGGAGAATGGCGTGAACCTGGGAGGCAGAGCTTGCAGTGAGCAGAGATCACGCCACTGCACTCCAACCTGGGTGACAGAGCAAGACTCCATCTCAAAAAAAAAAAAAAAGAAAGTTATTAGTCTTCTAAACTGAAAATATACCATCCCATTCCTCAACATATTCATATTTTCTCGTACAAGCATAGACATACACACACACACACACACTTACTTTTGTGTAACTATGATTTTCCCTATAGCTACTATTTATTCTACCCACCTGGTTTCCAAAATAAAACTGCAAGTCATCTTTGATTCTGTCCTCTCCCTCTCCATTGGCATTGGGCAGCTACCATTTGCTGCAATCTACCTCTTTAAATACCCTCATATCCATCCTTTTCTCCCTCTAAAACAGCCGCCCAATCCCAGCACTCAACACTGCAGTAAAAAGTCTGTCTCTTCCCTCAAGAAGCAAATCTATTTTTGCTTGGTCTTTGTGCCTCAGCCCCTGACAACACAGTGCCTGGCACCTAGTAGGTTCTCAACCGTGCTTACTAAATGAATGATTTTTCTTATGCAATCTCTTCCTTCATTTGCGAGACCAGATGGGTGCCCAGGTGGTATGACTGGCAGGAAACCAAATGGAATACAGAAGTGATCCAAAGGGACCTCCCTTAGAAATCTCCACTGGTGAAATGGATTTAACTCCCGAGCTAAAGTGTTCTATTTCCGGGAGACCTGTGGTAATAATCAAATAGGTTCTCTAAGATAAGAATTATCACATCAGCTCAGATCAATGTATTTCACCAACTCTCGAGATCCGGAGGGAATGGGACATAGGACAGGTGTGTTTGGGGAGCTAATGAGGTCAAGTGAGATCCATAGCATAAGACATTGCCCCATGGAGGAACTGGGTCTGAAGGAAAATTACAGAACTAAAACTCAGGGCATTTAGGCTTTGCCTATAAAATTAGATGTATCATAAGAAAGAAAAGCCAATAATTCATGTTTGAGTCAGAAATAGGAGAGGTTATATTTCCTGTCTGGGGCCACAGTCTCTTAGGCTGTGCTTCCACTTAGAGTGATAATTCTCATTCTAGACATGAATCTAATAAAACCATGAGTTTGGATTTCCTGGAATTTTTCTGACTGTGAATATAGACTTGTTCCCAAAAACGTCCACATTCCATCTGCCCTCCTAAATGGGCAGTTTCCATGATGTCAGCAGAGGAAATGCAGGGAGCTGCCATGATGTCTGCCCACTGCTGCCAGATCTCATCCAAGTGGCAGGTGAAGATTTATTCACACCCAGATACACAAGCCACTGAATTCATTTTTAATTTATTGTCTGAGTGGAAATAGGATGAAATAAGAGCTAATGAAATAATTCAGTTGGTCAGAAAGTGTTTTACATCTTATTTATAAGAGTGCTTTAAACCAAGTTGAATCATCTCCAGATCTACCAGATGTCACTGGTTATTAGTTGCTACAAGTCACCAGGCTCCTCCCTCCCTCTTTTGCTGTTGTTCTCCTATTCTTTCTTCCTTATGTTCCTCCCTTCTTTTTCCTTCCTTCCTTCCTTCCTTCCTTCCTTCCCTCCCTCCCCTCCATTATTCTCCTCCCCTCCCCTCCTCTCCTCTCTTCTTTCCTTTCTTCCCTTTCTCCTATATTAGTTCTCTTGGGCTGCCACAAAAAAATACCACAGACCAGGCACAGTGGCTCACGCCTGTAATCCCAGCACTTTGGGAGGCCAAGATGGACGAATCACTTGAGGTCAGGAGTTTGAGACCATCCTGGCCAACATGGTAAAACCCCAACTCTACTAAAAATACAAAAATTAGCCAGGAATGGTGGCATATGCCTGTAATCCCAGCTACTTGGGAGGCTGAGGCAGAAGAATTGCTTGGACCCAGGAGGCAGAGGCTGCCGTGAGCCGAGATCACACCACTGCACTCCAGCCTGGGCAACAGAGTGAGAATCTGTCTCAGGAAATAAAATAAAACAAAATGAAATACCACAGACTGAGTGGCTAAAACAACACCAATGTATTTTCTCACCGTTCTAGAGGCTGGAAGTCCACAATCAAGGCGCCAGCAGGGTTGGTTTCCTCCGAGGCCTCTTTCCTTGGCTCGCACATGGCAGCCCTCTTGCTGACTGCGCAGAGTCTGCTTCTGTGAAGACCTGTGTCTCTCCTCGTGTCCTGATCTCCTCTCTCATTAGGACTTCAGTCAGACTGGATGAGGACCCACCTTCAAAGCCCCATTTTAACTTAATCACCTCTTTAACAGTCACATTCTGAGATACAGGGGCTGACTTCAACTTATGAATCTGTGGGGGGCACAATTCAGCCCATAGCACTCTCCCTTCTTCCTTTCCTTCCTTGTTGAGGGCTTATCACAGGACAGATGCTACAAAGAGGAATGAGACAGAATTCCACACAATCCCTATCACACACACACACACTCACACACTCACACAATGATGTTACCAAAGCTCTCTTGTTTTTGGAGAGCGGCTTCTTGGATTGAGACCTGTGTTGGCTTTTGTCACATTACAGTTTAGGGTGCACCATGCCCCGTTCTGTTGAGCAAGGTAAGGGCCAAGACAGGGTGGGACAGTGATGACAACTGAGAGGAGTTTGACCCCTGGCTCTGCCTTTGACTTTGTGAATGACCTTGACAGGGGATCTGGGCTTCAAGATGCTCGCATGTAGAAAGAAGGGGTGGGATTTGATGCCTACTCAAGCCGTCTGGGCCTCAGCCAAGGATAGTACCTGAAAGACCTCCTTGATGTGGGAAGGGCTCAGGGAAGAGCCAAGTCTTCCAAGGTCAGAAATATTCAAATGAAAACAGAAGGAAAACAAAACAAAACCAAAACTGGCTCTTTGAAACCCGTGTCTATCAAGGAATATATACTAAATACAAGCGATTCCTATTTCTACTAAAGTAAAAGATTAAAATTGCTTTTCTGGGTCAGGCCTTTGCAGGAGCAGAGCTTATGAGAATAGGAGAGGTTGAGCGCCAGGAAAAATATTCTGCAGAGAAGCAGCGTCACCTGCTGGGGTGCGGTGGTGTTGCATGTGATAAGTGAAATGATAAATCACCAGCCTGGGTTTCTACCGAATGTGAAATCAGGAGCATTAATCTTAATCAAAAGCTGAGATTTCAAGACCACCAGACTGTGGAAAGGTTTCTCCGCAGGTTAATTTTAGCCATGTTTTAGATTTATTTTTGCTTTAAACTATTCACCCATGCTATACATCTTTCTTTATAAATCAGACTCAATGATATGTACTAGTGAAAACCAGTTAGTCAAAATCTGTTATTTAGAGGACACAGCTAGAATCACAGGTCTGAAGTCTCCCTTAGTTCAAGCTTAATTAAACAGCCACAAGACTCATCAGTTTCCCAGACCTCCAAGTCTCCTTCCAGCTCTAGAATTTAACCACATGTATTTACTGAGTTCTGTTAAACATGGGACATTTTGGGTTTTTTTGGGTTTTTTTGTGGTTTTTTGTGGGTGTTGGTTTTTGTAGTGGTGTATGTGTTTTCTGCATATCCGCTTTTCTTGTTGTTTATATGATTTATAATTCTCTTATGTTTTATTATGGATTTGGGCTTGTAAGAAGAGTTGTCGCCGCCTTAGTGTGGCGATACGTGCAGGTATGGATTTATAGTATATGTTATACTTGGTGCGCGTGTTGGTGTGCTGCCTACCCATCAACTCCGTAGATTTGTGTAGAGATCAGGCTATAACGTCCCAATTGCTTTAATCTCCTCCTCTCTCCCTCCGTCCGTGGTCGCTCCGCCCGTGCCCCGCCATGACGTGACCACCGGTATGTGAGTGTCCCCGCTTCGCCAAGCCGGAGTGCCAAGGTGTGATCTCAGTGTGGTTCGGAGCGTGTTCCCACGCTATGAGGGAGCATGCGCGGGTGTTTTTGGTTCGTTTCTGTCTTGTGATAGTCTTGCTAAGAGGTGATGGTTTCCAGGTGCAATCCAGTGTCCCTAGGCAGAAGGGACACAAACTCATGTGTCCTTTTGTATGGCGGTAGTGCATGAGTATTCCATTCGGGGTGTATATGTGGTCCACCGATTTTCTTAAGTGCCATCTGTCAGTGATTGGACATTTGGGTGAGTCCAAGTCTGTTGCTTCCCCCCGTCCTCTTTTGTCCTGTATTTTGTGGCCCGGCTAACTTCATTTGATCCGAATTATTGCTGTTCCCCGTCCCCCGACCCCGCTATTGTGAATAGTGCTGCAATAAATACGCTGTGCATGTGTCGTTTATACCAGCATAATTTATCATCTTTTGACGGTTATCCATACCAGTAATGGGCATGGGCTGCGGTCCATATTCGGTACATCTTAGTTCTAGATCTTGAGGAGATCGCCATACTAGTTTCTCATAATGGTGAAACTAGTTTACCATCGCCACAACAGTGTAAAAAGTGTTTCTATTTCTGCCCATCCTCTCCAAGCACCTGTTGTTTCCTGATCTTTTAATGCACCTTGCCATTCTAAAACTGGTGTTGGATGGTATCATCATTGTGGTTTTTATTTTGGCATTTCTCTGACTGGCGCCAGTGATTGATGAACAGTTTTTTCATGTGTCATCTGTTGGCTGTATGAATGGTCTACTATTTGAGAAATGTCTGGTTCATATCTTTTTGCCGCCACTTTTTGATGGGTTGTTTTTTTTTTTTCTTGTAAATTTGGTTTGAGGCGGTCGTGCTCAAAATACTCTCAATAAACATCGTCGATATTTGGATGGAACGTATCTCAAAATAATAAGAGCTATTTATGACACAACCACAGGCCAGATTTTATCTACTGAATAGGTGCTTTATAACTGGAAAAATTACCCTGCACGTCCTGTTTTGAAAACTGGCAACACGGGGTATGCCCTCTCTGCCCACTCCTATTCACATCCAGTGATTGGAAGTCTGGCTAGCGGCAATTAGGCCAAGCAGAAAGGAATCTTCAAGTGTTTCATTTTGGGAAAAGGACAGACGTGCAAATTTCCGCGTCTTTTGCGTATGACAATGATTGTCGTATTTAGAAACCACCCATTGTCTCAGCCCAAATCTCACTTAAGCCTATGATAGATCCAACTGCAGCAATTTATGCTCAGGCGATGCGCGGCAAAATTAATGTGCAACAATCACAGTCATTCTTCATTTCCCAGTATACAGGGAGGCCAAATTCAGGAATGAACTTCAATTCACAATTGCTTCAAGGAGAATCAAATACCTAGGAATCCACCTTTACAAGGATGTAAAGGATCCGTCTTCAAGGAGAGATACAAACCACTGCTCAGTGAAATAAAAGAGGACACAAAACAAATGTGAAGAACCATTACCATGCTCATGGATAGGACAGAATCAATTCGTGAAAATGGCATACTGCCCAAGTAATTTATAGATTCACAATGCCATCCCATCAGGCTAACCAATGAGTTCTTCACAGGAATTGGAAAAACTGCTTTAAAGTTCATATGGAACCAAAAAAGAGCCCGCATCTCCAAGACAATCCCAGTCAAAAGAACCAAAGCTGGAGCATCACCGCTACCTGACTTCAAACTATACTACAAGGCTACAGTAACCAAAACACATCGGTACTGGTACCAAAACAGAGATATAGACCAATGGAACAGAACAGAGTCCTCAGAAATAATACCACACATCTACAGCCATCTGATCTTTGACAAACCTGAGAGAAACAAGAAATGGGGAAAGGATTCCCTATTTAATAAATGGTGGCTGGGGAAAATTGGCTAGCCATAAGTTAGAAAGCTGAACTGGATCCTTTTCTTACTCCTTATTGAGAAAATTAATTCAAGGATGGATTAGAGACTTAAAATGTAGACCTAATACCATAAAACAATCCTAGAGAAAACCTGGGTAGTACCATTCGGACATAGGCATGGCAAAAGACTTCATGTCTAAAACAACCAAAAGCAACAGCAAGCAAAGCCAAAATTGACAAATGGATGTCTCATTAAACTAAAGAGTCTGCACAGCAAAAAGAAATACCAATCAGAGTGAACAGGCAACCTACAGAATGGGAGAAAATTTTTGCAATCTACTCATCTGACAAAGGCTAATATCCAGAAACATGGACATTTTGTATACCGAGAGATGTATGGAGAAGTGTAAAATATGTTCCTGATCTCTTGTTTTGGAGACTTGGCATAAAAGTATACGAAGATAAATAGCAATTATAAAAGTTAATAATCATGCCATTCAACAAATAAAGTATGTGGTATAGATCAATGGCTACTCTGAAAGCCAGTATTTCTGGCTGGGGGCAGAGAATTTTACAGAGGGAGGGTTTCTTGAGCCACATGTGAAAAAATAACAAGAATTTTGATGAAATTCATGGATAATAAGAAAAACTGAAGTAAGCACCAAAAAATGGAGACTGAGAACATGTTAAACGTTTTTGATAAGAAAAAAAAGGAAATGTGCTTGAGAAACCCCAGGAAGATCAATTTAACCTGAGTAGGAATTTTTAGGAGAATAGTTTGAGATAAGGCAGGAAAAGGAAGCTGAGACATGATGATTCTGTAAATGCAAGGATAAGGAAGTTTGAGCTTATTCTTGTAAGCAATTGAAAAGCATTGAAGATTTCTGGGAAGGAAAATAAAGTGATAAGAACTGTGTCTTAAAAAGACTCACCTGACAATCACATGCAGGAGGGAATGATTCTAAGATGTGAAAAGATGCCCTGAATGTGTAAAAGGCAGAATGGTAGAAGGAGGGTTTTCAAGGTCACAAATGTGTATGTAAAAGCAGAAAAGAAATCTGGCTCTTTGATACTTTTTTGTATCACACAATATACTCTAACTTAAAATAATTCTAAAGACATTAATGTAAGAGCTAAAACTATGAAACTGTTAGAGGAAAACATTGGGGAAATGCTTCAGGACATTGATCTGGGCAAAGGGTTGCTGGGTAAAACCTCAAAAGCTCAGGTAACAAATTAAAAATAGGTAGATGGGATTACCTCAAGCTAAAAAGCTTCTGCACAGCAAAGGAACCCATTAAAAAAAAGTGAAGAGACAACCTACAGAATGGGAGAAAATACTTGCAAGTTGTCCATTCAACAAGGATAAATAACCAGAAAATACAAGGAACTCAAACAAGTCAATAGCAAAAAACAAAAGAACAAAACAACAACAACAACAACAACAACAACAAAAGATCCAATTAAAAAATAAGCAAAAGATCTGAATAGACATTTCTCAAAAGAAGACATATAAATGGCCAACAGGTATATGAGAAAATGCTCAACACTACTAATCATCAGGGAACTGCAAATCAAAAACCACAACAAGGGAACATCTTACTCCAGTTAGAATGACTGTTGTCAAAAAGACAAAAAATAACAGATGCCGGTGAGGTGGAGGAACGGGAACACTCTGACACTGTTGGTGGGGATGTAAAGTGGTATAGCCATTATGGGAAACAGTATGGAGGTTCCTCAAAGAACTAAAAATAGAACTGCCGTATTAGCCAGCAATCCCACTGCTGTGTACATATTCAAAAGAAAGGAAATCAGTAATCAAAGAAATTTCTGCATTCCCATGTTTATTGCAGCACTATTCACAATAGCCAAGATATGGAATCAGCTAAAACGCCCATCAATGAATGCATGGAAAAAGAAAATGTGGTACATGTACATAATGGAATATTATTCAGCCATAAAGAAGAATGAAATCCTGTCATTTACGGCATCATAGATGGAACTGCAGGTCATTATGTTAAGTGAAATAAGCCAGGCACAGAAAAACAAATATCACACATTTTCACTCATATATGGGAGCTTACAAAGTTGAT